TCGCAAGATTCAGAGACTCAATTTCCACCAAAGAGTCTGTGATGGTCCGTCACACATGTGACGGTCCGTCCTGCCATTTCGTTACGAAGTTCAGAGAGTCAATTTTCAGTACCCAGTTTCAGATTTTCTAAGTGTTTTGAAACGAGACCCTGCGACGGTCCGTCGTGCCCATGACGGTCCGTCGTGAGGTCCGTCGCCTCAGCCTGTTTTTCCAGAAATAAAATCTGCTGTTCAGAACGACTAAGCAGGTCGTTACAATTGAGGCCTAAATTAGTATCCCCTAGACATAATATGTTACAATAGCATTGACATCGTGGTTAGTTCTTATGAAAATTACTGAAGACAAATGCGTAAAGTATGTGTTTTGGAACTCCTCACAATAAAAAACTTCTGGTCCTTTAGTTATCAGGAGGGATGAGGCTTCACGCCTCTTGCAACTCATCCAGTCATCAACACGTGGCGAGCCGATAAACGCTACAGAGCAGATCTTAAGGTATGAGAGTTCAATGACATTGCAAGGCAGCATTTGGGGATCAATTGTTGAAAGATGAAGGGAAATTCATTGAAATATTGAGGGAATTAGTGGAATCGGCAAGTGGATTTAGTGTGTCTGACATTTTCCCGTCAATCAAGATCCTTCATGTGCTAAGTGGATTGAGGAGTAAAATCTTGAAGCTTCACCAAAATGTTGATCTATTGTTGAGGATGTAATCAATGATCACAAGAAGAATATTGCAAGTGGTAAAAAAGGAAAATGATGTATTTGGAGATGAAGATTTAGTTGATTTTCTACTAAGATTAATAGAGAGTGGGGAAGTTAAAACCCAATCACCAATGACAACATCAAAGCCATTATAATTGTAAGTGCTCTTGCTTATAATTGAAAAAATTAAAAAAAATAATCTAAGGGTGTGTTCATGGAAAAGATTTTATAGGGAAAATAAAATGATTTTTCCATGTTGTTATTTGTAGTTTTGATGATTTGACAAACTTAGGGATCTTGTAAAGGTACCAGGTTTCTTGTTTGAATGTTGCAGATGAAACAAACACAAGGACCTTGTAGAGGTACCAGACTCTCACTGTCACGAGCCTGTTGACTGCCAGCTGGAGACGGTACAAAAAGTAGGTGCACACTTCCCGATGGCGTCAGAAAGTGAGACTTCTCCAACCAATGACAAAGAGTTTAGGGAAAGTGACTTGTCCATATAAAAGGCACTTTCCTAAACATCTTTGGTAGTTTTTGCAACTTGATAAAAACTTTTCAAGAACTCTTGCAAAGGCTACTACAAAGCAAAGGCAGAATTATTCCAAGAACAACAGTAATCTCTGGAGCTTTTCATATAGTTGTTTAGGAATACATTCTCTTGTTCTTAAACTGTAAACTATTCCTGAATCTATAAAGGAATCGTTGTGTAGTGTTAAAAGTCTAGGTTGTCCAAGTGGGATAGCTTAGTGGGTAGATTGTTTTCTACTTAGGCTTGTTAAGCAATAGGGACTATTGCTTAAACGTGAGATTAAAAACTTTTTCACTTTTGTTTTAATCGTGTTTTACTTTTGCTTTTGAAGATTAGTGAAAACGATTGAAAATCTTGTGAGACCTGTCGTGGTTTTACTCCCTTAAGCAAGGAGGTTTCCACGTAAAATCATCGTGTTGATTTTATTGTATTTTACTTTCTGGTTTCATTCATCAGTGTATTAAGGGATCTGGTCCATTACTCGTTAAGTGAAGGCATATATTCTTTCACATGTGTTCAATATTATCCTTACAATTTTTTATATATATTTAATCAAATACAATGGAAGATGGAGGTGGAGGTGAAGGTAATAGGGATGGGATCCAGGGCTATAGGATAGAGGTGAAGATTAGTTGTATTGAAGGATTGGGATGACACACTTAATGTTAAATACTACTTTTCCTTACTTCCATTAGAAAACACATTTATTTTCTTTTTAAGGAACTTGTTTTAATTCGCTAGAAAAAAATATTTTTCAAAATTCTTGATCAAATGTGTTTGCAACTAAAGTGAGAAGAAATTAAACATAATTTCTTTGATAAAATAATAAGTGTATGAATTTGTTGGTCCTAGACTCTTCTATTATAAGATTTCTTTTAGATTCAAGGGTCATCAATAGTGTATTTCTTGAATGAGGACTAAGATAATGTGGACCTTCTATAGATTTATTTAATCTCCATGAGAGGATATTATAGATCTTCATAAAGTATTTGGTTGTCAAGAAGAGTTTGGTCATATCATTTATCTAATCTTTGTGAATATCAAATAAATTTCTGAATTTTTTCAGATACGATATATATTACTCTCTCCGTCCACTATATCTGTCATGAATTCTATTTTTTAGAGTCAAACTATAAGAACTATGACTAACATTTTAAGATGTATTTTTTTATCATACTGATATGCAAAAAATTGCAGTTTATATTACATTTCATATAGTTTTTGAATATCTAATTAATTTGTTTAAAATATCGAATTAATGTAATCTAATTTAACTTTAAAAATTAGTCAAATTGACTTTTCGAAGAGTGTAACATGACAAATAAAAGTGGATAGAGGGAGTACCTTTTATATAGGCATAAGTCAGATTTTAGGATAAAGTAACCTAAAAGAACTCTAACAACAAATGTTCCCTACTTTGAGGCTTGTCGAAGATGAAACTCAAAGACAAGATTAGAAGTAGGTACAAAATGACAGATTTAAAGATCTTTATGAAATATTTCATGAATTTATGAAATTAATAATGAATGTTGAACATGTTCACTGCGCCAACAGAAACTTCAGGAACAATAACAACATGGGCCATCATAGAAATGATGAGAAATTCAAATTTACCAGCAAAGGCCCAAGCAGAAGTAAGAAAAGCATTTAAAGGACAAGAAACTTTTAATTAGGATGTAATTGAGGCGGGTTCGAATTTCGGGCAATCACTATCATATCGAAATTTTAATTCTCTGTAGAAAAGTTCGTATTTTTTCAATCAACTTCATTCAAAATTGGAACAAATCCGCATACACCTTGGTTGACACGAGTATATAAGAGGAATTAAAATATCTAAAACAAGTTGTTAAAGACACATTGAGACTTCATCCTCCATTCCTCTCTTAATCCCTAGAAAATGCATGGAAGAAACAACCATCAATGGTTACACTATCCCTTTAAAAACAAGAGTCATGGTTAACGTTTATGCGATGGGAAGGGACCCAAAGTATTGGTTAGACGCAGAAAGCTTTATACCTGAGAAATTCGAGCAGAGCTCAATAGATTACATAGGGAATAATTTTAGAGTCCGGAGTTTAAAGGGTACAAAATATTAACCAAAATTTCAAAATGGTATATAAAATTTTATATTAACCAAAACGGCAAAATCTCTGGAACAACAGCGATTTATTTCACGGGAAAAAGCAAAATCGCTGCCACTGCATCTATTTTGCAAAATGTGAATTTTTTTTAAAAAAATTGAAATCGCTACCTAGACAGCGATTTTCAACTTTTTGTAAAAAAAATAAAAAATTGAAATAAGGAAATCGCTGCCTAGGCAACGATTTTCCAAAAAAAGATTTTTTTATAAATCGACAGCGATTTTATAAATTTTCTTTTTTTAAAAAAAATAATAAGGAAATTGCTGCCTAGGTATGCTACTATTATTTAAGTTGGTATGCTAGAATATATTCAATTGTAGGACTGATCATCTTTTATATTCGTTGAACCACCGTCCACCAAGATGAACATAAACAATCTGATAATTTTTGTTTTTCTAGTAAGCTCAAAAACATATATATAATTGTTTAACTTTGTTCCACAAATAAATGTTATAGAAAATTACCTTTCTCAAATTTGAATTTCATTTTGTTGGAAAATTGCTCAATGTTGAGCATGACACGAGTCATCTAGAGTTTAAAAAAAAAAACTAGTGTTATTTTACGAAGAAATAAAGTACATTTTGCAAAAAACACTTACCGTTTCAGATGTCTCAATGAGTCATCTAATGTTAAAAGAAATTAAAGTCACTTCTCGTCATAAAAACATTTGTTGTATCAAAAGTAATATTTAATAGGAGTGTACGGTGTGCCAAATCAATTGTTGCCAACTATTATTGAACATATGGATGGAGTATTTAATTAGTGATCAAAAAATATTGTACGAAATGTCGCTTTTTCTAATTTATGGAACACAATTCTCATGACTCTTTAATTTTAAAAATGCTAGTTTCCCAAATCCAAGGAAATCCACAAAAAAAATCCTTACTTTAAGGTATGTCCTTCGATTTAAATGGTTGAAAATTCCTATAAATATTCAATCTCAATATGCTCAACAAATCGTCCCAAGTAATAAAACAAAGGAAATCAAATAGAAAAAAAAAAAGCAAAGCAAAATCTATCAACAAAAAATATTAAAAACATTAGCATTCTTGAAAAAAATGGAGGCAAATAAGCTTGTATCAGTATTTTTAATGTGCATGATTGTATTATCAGTTGTTCACGTTTCCAAGGCTGTAACTTTCGATAGCTGCAACGAAAATTGTCAAAAGGATTGCACTTCCAATGGCCATGGCTCCACTTATTGTGCATTGAGATGTGAAACCGATTGCGGCTATAAGGCGCTGAAAGGTATTTATAATCTACATAAATTTCATGTATAAAGAGTATTCATATCTTTTGCATATATTAAAGAGTATCTCGGATATATTTTAATATTAATCGAATACATGTAGTTCGGATACATTAAAAACTAACTCGAATAAATAATATGTAGCTCAAATTTAATAAAAATGAGCTAAAATATATTAAATACTGACTCAAATATGTTAATATATAGCTATAATATATTAAATATATTAGGAGAGAAAGAACAGATTTTTAGAAAGAGGAGGAAATAAGGAAAAAATAAGATTGTATATTTCAGTAAATTTTCCTTTTTACGTGTCTCGATTGTTCATGTATTGGTCTTTTAAGATTTTTATGCACCTTTATTGTTATACGAAATCATTAGTTTTAAACTACAAATATTTCAAATAAATTTAATTTATCAGAATTAGTGTAGGTAATATTTGGTAATGGAGGAGCGTTTATTATTATTATTATTATTATTATTATTATTAATTTGTCCACTTGTATTCAAACTATTTATTTATGTTTTAAAATTTTTTATTTTTTTGTGTTGTATTTTTAACAGGTGAATTTGAGAGCCTCACGTCTTGAGCTGGACCAAGAATGTAGGGTATCACCCTAAAAGGAGATAGGGGACAAAGAAGAATAAAATCGTGGAATTTATTTTTTAATTAAATCATTCATCAATTTCATTTTCCACTACCATTGTATAATGCTCAGAATTAAATAAAAACAAATTGATTTTTGTATATTTAAATTTTCGTGTCTTCCTTGAGTTTATTGCGTTAAAGTTCAATTTCCATATATATATATATATATAAAAGATTGATTTTACTAAGGTTTCTTGTGGAACAATAAACTGACTGGACGAGCGAACCTCCTTTATTTAACGTGTCTCACTCTCAAATAGAGTATCACGTGCTACAATATTACTTTAGTAATGCTACTAATACTATAGACTTGGCTTTTGGATGTCAATTGATTTCTCACATTTTGTTTGTTCATTCTATAGAGCGCTACACTAATAGGGATAGTTATGGAGCGGGACAGGTAGTAAGTAGTACTTGCATAGCAGGGCAAATTATGGCTTTTATGAGGCGAGGTTGTGCGGGTACAAAATACTTTTTGAAAGAAACTTGTGGGAAAGGGTGGGTACGTGGGTTGAGAATTTTTCTTTTTCAAACTTAACTAAAAGAGGATAAATTACTTTTGATTTACTTATTTCTATTATCCCTTATTATTTTTAAAAATTTCCAAATTGTCTTATTTTTTTAATATATTCGAGCTGCATATTAATGTATTTGAGTCAATATTTAATGTATCTGAGCTAATTTTAATGTATCTCAGCTACATATTAATGTATCCAAGCAAGTTTTTAATGTATTCGAGTTAGTTTTTAATGTATCTGAGTTACATATTAATGTATCCGAGACAATATTTGATATATATGAACTACATATTAATGTATCCAAGCTTCAATTATTGTATCCGTTTTTTATTTTTATTTTTAAGGGAGCAATGTAATCAGAAACTGTAACGACCTGTTTAGTCGTTTTGAGTAGTAGACTTCAATTCTGGAAAAACTGGCAGAAGCGACAGACCCCACGACGGACCGTCATGGGCACGACGGACCGTCGCAGGGTCTCGTTTCAAAACACTTAGAAAATCTGAAATTGGGTACTGAAAATCGACTCTCTGAACTTCGTAACGGAATGGCAGGACGGACCGTCACAGGCGTGACGAACCGTAGCAGATTATTCAGTGGAAATTGAGTCTCTGACCCTTGCGACGACCTGCAGGACGGACCGTCGCAGGCACGACGGGCCGTCGCAGGTTGCGCAATCCCAGTCTGGGTCGGATTTCTTGATACGTTTTAAGGGACGTTTTTGACTATTCTTGCCTTAATTATAAAGTTAGTGGGTTAACGTTAATAAGTCTAATTACTTGGGGGTTAAAAGAGGTAACCTTAAGTTAATTAGTGGGGCGTTATTGCCATCTTTTATTCTTAATTATATGTTAATTAGGGTAAAAGAAAGAGGGTTGGAATAAGAAAAATAAGAAAGAACATAAAGAGAGAGAGAGAGACGAAGAGGATAGCAAGGATTCTGAGAAGATAGTTTGTTGATCGCAATTCTTCGGTGGAGGTAGGTTATGGTTTTCATGCTATTCGTAGTAAACTCTTAATAGCGAATGATATGTGTTAGTAGTATTGTAAACCTTCTATATGCTTAATTGTATGCGTGCATGAATGATGTGATTATGTAATTATGAATAAATAAGCATGATGAAGTTATTGAATCCCAAATCTTGAAAAGAAACCCTAATCTACTTTGTTAATGATGATGCCTTGGTATAAAAGAAGGCTTGATGAATGAAAGTAGTGAGATTAGGGGGCCGGGTGCCACATTCCGGTACCATGATAGTATATGAGGATCGGAGTGTCACGTTCCGACACCAGGATAGAATATGGATCGGGTGCCACGTTCCGGTACCAGGATAGTATATGAGGATCGGAGTGTCACGTTCCGACACCAGGATAGAATATGGATCGGGTGCCACGTTCCGGTACCAGGATAGTATATGAGGATCGGAGTGTCACGTTCTGACACCAGGATAGAATATGGATCGGGTGCCACGTTCCGGTACCAGGATAGTATATGAGGATTGGAGTGTCACGTTCCGACACCAGGATAGAATATGGATCGGGTGCCACGTTCCGGTACCAGGATAGAATATGGATCGGGTGTCACGTTCCGACACCAGGATAGAATATGGATCGGGTGCCACGTTCCGGTACCAGGATAGTATATGAGGATCGAAGTGTCACGTACC